GACAGCATTGTAGGTGACTATGAATCTGAAGACTTCCTAGATGCAGTACAGGACAATTTTTTTAAACAACTAATTGCAGAACCTACTAGAGGTGACAATATATTTGACCTAGTATTAACAACTAAAGAAAATATTATCAGAGAGATCACAGTAGGGGAAGAACTAGGTAACAGTGATCACAGAGAAATCAGGTTCACCCTAAATTGGGAAACGAAAAACAATGACAATATGGTCAGAGTCCCAAACTTTCGGTTGGCGGATTATCAGGGGTTAAGAAGGTACCTAGGTGAGATCACCGGGGAACAGTCAGGTCAGTCCCCAGTAGGAAAGGGTGAGGTCACAGATTACACAACAATTGATCATGACTATAATATATTCACTAGTATACTACGTAAAGCACAAGAACAAAATATACCATACAGAAAAATTAGGTCAAATAAGAATAAGCCAAGGTGGATGACCAGAAAACTTAAACAAGACATAGGAATAAAGAGAGGAATTTATAAGAAATTAAAGGGAGGGGAGGAGCAGCTCAAAAATAGGTGTAATGAACTATCTAGGAATGTTAAGAAAAATGTAAGGAAAGCAAAGAGAGACTATGAAATCAGAATAGCAAGAGAATCCAAGACGAATCCCAAGGGATTTTTCCAGGTATATAGAACAAAGGTCAAGGACAAAGTTGGGCCTTTAAAGTCAGGGAGGGGGGGAAGTGATCAATGGCAGTGAAGAAATAAGCAAACCATTGAACAGCTACTTTTTATCAGTTTTCACAGAAGAAATTCACGAGGAAATTCCAGAGGTGGAACTGATATTTAGGGGAAAGGAAAAAGAGAAATTAAAGAATATCACTATCAGAAAAGAGGATAAATAAATTAAAGAAGACAAAATCCCCAGGACAGGATGAAATTTTCCCTCGAGTCCTGAAAGAGTGTAGGGAACAGATTAGCGGACCCCTCGTAAATTTATTTACAAAATCATTAGACACGGGAGTTGTGCCAGACTTAAGGAAACAGGCAAATGTAGTACCCATATTCAAAAAGGGAGACAGAGCATCAGCGTCAAATTACCGGCCGCTCAGTTTGACGTCAGTAGTGGGGAAATTTCTTGAATCAATTATAGCAAATAGCATCCGATCACATTTAGAGAAAAGCAAATTAATCTACGACTCTCAACATGGGTTTACAAAGGGAAAATCTAGTCTAACAAATCTGCTGAGGTTTTTTAGGAAAGTCTTCGAGGCAGTAGATAATGACGAAAATTACGATGTTATTTACTCAGACTTTAGCAAAGCATTTGACAGAGTACCGCATCAGAGGCTTCTGAGAAAAGTTAAGGCTCATGATATCGAGGAGAAAGTTTTAAATTGGATAAAATCATGGCTCACCGATAGAACGCAGAGGGCAGCGTAGATGGTGTTAAATCTGAGTGGGGCTGTGTAACCAGTGGGGTTTCCCAGGGGTCAGTACTAGGTAAACTCTTGTTCATAATCTACATAAACGATCTAGATACTGGGATCAGCAGTGACATAAGCAAGTTTGCGGATGACACAAAAATAGGGCGGCAGATAAATTCAGGGCAGGATGCAAATGCACTACAGGAGGATTTAAATATACTGCGGGGGTGGTCAGAAAAATGGCAATTGAAATTCAACACCAGCAAGTGCAGCGTACTTAATATTGGAAGAACAAATACTGTCAATGTATACAGTCTTTCAACATCAACCTAGAGAAGTCGACTTATGAAAGAGACTTAGGGGTACTTGTAAGCCCAGACCTACGGCCTAGAAAACAGCGCGTTAATGTTCGAAATAAGGCAAACAGAGTATTGGTTTAGTTTGTATATATTTGTTAAATTATTAAAGAAAAAGGGCGACTATTTAATGGCATATGTGAGATAGATAAACACTGGTTTGGAAACAGAGTAGTGGATGAATGGAACAAGTTACCAAATATCATCATTAACTCGAATACGCTGAATAGCTTCAAACATAGGTTGGATGCTTATATGAGCAATAGGGGTTGGGTGTAAACGGACTGCCCAGTATGGGCCAATAGGCCCGCTGCAGTTTCCTCCATTCTTATGTTCTTATGTTCAATGTTCGTAACCCGTTAGTGAATTTGGGCCAGCCGCCAGTGCTGCCAGGTCTACTTTGCCAAATTTCCCTAGCAGCGCCCTCAAAATTTCTCTTCTTAACATGAATTTTCCCTAGGTATCTATACCATTCGCATTAAAATATAGTCAATACTTTTTGTCAAGAATTTTGGATACATTCTAGTATATGAATGTCTAAACTTAAAATTAGCCATAATTAAGAGGAGATACCCGGTACTCACATTTCAATGTTTGGGGTCTTCGGTCTTGTACATTTCATGTCATCCTCAGTTTCTTTGCAATTTCTGAGTCAGCATACTTCCCACGTGCAGCATCCTTCCTCCACAGAACAACCTTCCCCCACACAGCATACTTCCCACACACAGCATCTTTCCTCCACACAATCATCGTTCCCACACACGGCATACTTCCTCCACACAGCATCCTTCCCACACACAGCATACTTCCCACACACAGCATCTTTCCTCCACACAATCATCGTTCCCACACACGGCATACTTCCTCCACACAGCATCCTTTCCACAAACAGCATCCTTCCCACACACAGCATCCTTCCTCCACACAGCATCCTTCCTCCACACAGCATCCTTCCTCCACACAGCATCCTTCCTCCACACAGCATCCTTTCCACAAACAGCATCCTTCCCACACACAGCATCCTTCCTCCACACAGCATCCTTCCTCTACACAGCATCCTTCCCACACACAGCATCCTTCCTCTACACAGCATCCTTCCTCCACACATCCTTTCCACAAACAGCATCCTTCCCACACAGCATCCCTCCACAGCATCCTTCCACAGCATCCTTCCCACAAACAGCATCCTTCCACATAGCATCCTTCTTCTACAGCATCCTTCCCACACACAGCATCCTTCCCCACACAGCATCCACAGCATCCTTCCTCCACACAGCACCCTTCCCACACACAGCATCCTTCCTCTACACAGCATCCTCCTTCCCACACATCCTTCCCCACACAGCATCCTTCCACACACAGCATCCTTCCCACACACAGCATCCTTCCCCACACAGCATCCTTCCCACACACAGCATCCTTCCCCCACACAGCATCCTTCCCCACACAGCATCCTTCCCCACACAGCATCCTACACAGCATCCTTCCCACACAGCATCAGCATCCTTCCCACAGCATCCACAGCACCCTTCCACACAGCATCCTCCCACACACAGCATCCTTCCACACACAGCAGCACACAGCATCCTTCCCACACATCCTTCCCACAGGTAGCATACATCCTTCATACTGTCCATACAGCATCTTTCCCCACACATCCTCCACACAGCATCCTACCCACACACAGCAACATTCCTCCACAGCATCCTTCCTTCACACAGCATCCTTCCCACACACAGCATCCTTCCCACAGGTAGCATACATCCTTCATACTGTCCATACAGCATCTTTCCTCACACAGCATACATCCTCCACACAGCATCCACCCACACACAGCAACATTCCTCCACACAGCATCCTTCCTTCACACAGCATCCTTCCCACACACAGCATCCTTCCCACAGGGTATACATCCTTCATACTGTCCATACAGCATCTTTCCCTCACACAGCATCCTCCACACAGCATCCTTCCTCCACACAGCATCCTCCACACAGATCCTTCCTCCACAGCATCCTACCCACGCACAGCATCCCTTCCATGCACAGCATCCTTCCTCCACACAGCATACTTCCTTCACACAGCATCCTACCAACACACAGCATCCTACCCACACACAGCATCCTTCCTCCACACAGCATCCTTCCCACACACAGCATACTCCCTTCACAGCATTCTACCCACACACAGCATTCTTCCCACACACAGCATACTTCCTTCACACAGTGTCCTACCCACACACAGCATCCTTCCCACACACAGCATACTTCCTTCACACAGCATTCTACCCACACACAGCATTCTTCTCACACATAGCATCTTTCCCACACACAGCATACTTCCTTCACACAGCATTCTACCCACACACAACATTCTTCCCACACACAGCATACTTCCTTCACACAGCATCCTACCCACACACAGCATCCTTCCCACAGACAGCATCCTTCCCACACACAGCATACTTCCCACACAGTTGGGTCAGCCTCCATAGCATTACGCAACTGAGATTTGGCGCGCGTTTATTATTGATTACAATAAATCTGAAACTGTTTTACTCCAAAATTCTGACCGGCTTCCGGAAACTGTGTAAGACTGTCTGGATCCTCCACTGCGAAATTTAGTTTTGTTCCTTTTTAGAGGGTGCTGCAAATACTTCATTGCCATTTTTCCCCTAGTTTTATATAATTTTTAATTTTTCTTCCCTTTTCCCTCTACGGGTCATTTTTCTCAAGAAATGGAAACTTTCCCTAGACCTGGCCTGACTGCCTGAATCACATAGGCAGTTAAATAGAATCCCATAAAGTTCTCCCCAAAACGTTTCTTTATATAAGTTAAAAACTAATTTGTTTGAAAATTTTTTCTTTAATAAAAGTAAAAGATTGCATTGTTTATGAATTTTACAATTGTACTATAGATTACAGATAAAGTGACAGAATGATGAGTGTGTGTGTGTGTGGTGGGGGAGGGGGGGGGGAATTCCCGGTACAATTTATCTGTTTATGGCAAAGTGTGGCAAGTCCCTAATAATGTCATGTGCCAGGCCTGTCACTAGGAGGAGGGATATCTGGTCAGGGAGGGAAGAGGTGTTGGTAACGGCTAGCTTAAGCTAGCCCACCAGGGAACAGGTCATCGACCCCCAACGGGGCCTTGGGGGGGTGGGGGGAGAGGGGTCCAAAAAATAGCAGTAAAAATTAATTAAAAATAGAAGAGAAAAAGATTTTAAGAATTTTCACCACAAAGATGTCGGAAACAGCTTTTGTTGTCAATAAAAAAACTGCCTTCTGTGATCAATTTACGAAACTTCAGTTTCACTATGAAACATAATTGCTATAATAATCGTGCTAAAACCTGCTACAAAGATAATAAGCCATAAGGTAGTAAATAAATTTTTAAAGCCTAAAAGGTAAACCCGCGAGATGAAATTGGTTGTTCAATTGTTTTTGTTGTGGTCGAGGTTAGCCTTTCGCTTGTGTGAGTCTGTTGCCGAGATTAAAGTGAGTGAGGATAACACACACTTCAACCACACAATACATTTACCATCGAGTTTCACTTACTTTGAGACATCACAACCATACACAGGTGAGTTAGAAATTTGTGGCGGTGTGAAGAAATTTATTGTAGGACTGTACTGACTGTGCCTGAAAATTTATAATTCAATGTTGCTCAACTTGAAGCCTATGATATACACACTTAGAATATTTTATTAATGTAGATGCATTATTGTAGGAAATTATGCATCATACTAAGTGAAATACGATGTTTAATGTTAATAATTGAACACTAAAGTTTAAATGCATAGTCCAAAGATGGAGGCTTTTTGTTCTTTAATTGTAATTATTTTAGTTTCGGTCATCCTGGTAATCTTGGGAATACAGTATACGTTTGGTTAGAAACAGTTCCTGGGTTCTTAGGTTAGGTTTAGGTAAGGCTGGTTAGGTATGGTTGCTTTAGTTAGGTTAGGTTAGGTTAGGTTAGGTTAGGTTAGGTTAGGTTAGGTTATCTAAATACAGGGATAACCGAAACTATAATTTAAGGCAGCGGATATTTTGTTGTGACGAGCTAAGTTCCTACTAATGCTATTTTACCACGAGTGTGCTCTGGTTGGCTAATCGTCCATGGCAAATATTATTCCATTGGCTGTCCTCAGGTTTTGATACAAAAATAGTTTTTGTTTGGTGTATTATGGAGTGTTTTACTCAAATCCGACCTTCATTTCTTGTGTGCAAATTAACTTTTTTTTTAAATAACAATTTCATTTGTAACAGAAAGCGCTAATTTGCACCAAAATGGCAGTCAGGTTTGAGTAAAACACACCATAAAACACCAAAAAAGGCAAACCTAGCCTAACCTAACCTAACCATTTTTTGGAGCTTACCTGCTACTGTGGGGGAAAGACAATCTCTTGGCAGACACCCTGTCCCGTGATGTATAAAAGTTTTCTCCTTTTGTTCGTAAACTTTTTAGATGAGGGGGATGTTACGAGTGTCCGCCATAAGTTTCTGTTGTGGGTATGAAATACGTTGGTTCGGATGGTGTGGTTGGCTTGAGCAGTTTCGCTCATTACTCGCCCACACTGACTGAGCCATCATTTTTGTATTAAATTTGTTTTATTACATTGTGTATTTATTATATTATGTTTGTATATAGGTGAGATAAGTAGAACTAATGTCAGTAAGGTAATTTAGATAAAGTTTACATTTTGGCCAATCGGGATATGATACGTTGGTATTTGGTGGTAGAGAGGTGACGTCGGTGGCCTGATGGTACACCTTAGTCAGTCTAGGCACAGCTGTCTTAAGTTGAGTATACCCTCTCTCTTGTGATTTGGTAGTTGGCATTTGACTATTGAGATTTGTTATTGCTTGATATTGATTTTGTGTAATAAGCCACTTCCAAACATCTTATCTTATTATTATTGCTATTTATTTTATTTTATGTACATATGTGGTGGTGGGAATAAGTTAATAAATGTTCATATTTTTATTGACTTGTTTAGGTTTTGACCTGTTAACTTGACCTTTGTTGGGAGAATTTGGGATTAATAACATTAATAAATATTGGTATATTTGAAAGACTTGAGTGATTTGCGTTTATGTAACGATCTACCCTATGGTTGTAACAGGTGTGAGGATTGTTTATCAGACTGGTTGCGTCGAGAGGGAGCATGGAGGCAGCCAGCTGTGGTGTATGTGTTGAACTTACCAGCAGAAATACAGGATTTGTGGCCATATTGTGGCATACTGTATGTGGCCAGTTGTCAATTCTCTTTGTGTGGGCTCACATACGTACGTACAAGTAGATATCTCACACTCAGGATTGAGGTAGGATAGAAACTCACAATGCATTTTCTGTATACATTGTATGTACAGTGCAGTGCTAAGGAATTGCCGTGTGGTGAGAAGTTTGCTCAGAGGTCCTGTTGGGTGAGGAGCTTGCTGAGGGAGCTGGTTGGTGAGGAGCTTGTTTATAGGTCTTGCTGGTTCAGCAGAGTAGGGTAGAATTCAATGGCGAGACTGAGAGCTTTTTACTCGGCCACCAGAAGCAAGACTGGGTGCAAGTGTCGCTGGTGTCGACCCCCCCCCCTTAGTCTAGACTTGTCAGAGAAACTTGGCGCGATTCTAGACGACTAGGCTTTGACTGAACTCCGTTGCTATGGAATGCGACTAAGCTTGTCAGTTGTAGGGGAGAGTATCTCTATGTTTGTCTTTGGTACCCCCAAAATGTTCTACACTACTGAGGGTATACACAAACACTTGTTATCTTAAAAATACAGTTGTACCCCACTTAACGCGGTCAATAGAACCCAGAGGGTCCCGTGTTAAGTGAAATCCGTGTTAAGTGAACAACAGAACATATGGGATTAATTCCAATAGAAACCAGCCCGACCCCCAAACTCCACTTTTTGAAGACACATAACTATGTTGTAGTAAAAATAACATCTTAATTTTATGATGGTACATGCACACAATTAATACTTAAGAGAAATAGAGAAATACAGTCGCCAAGTTAATGTCCATTCAAATAATGGACTCAACTCCCTCCCCCTCTTCTCACACTATACTGCTGGCTCTTCCCTCTCTGAGAAATTTTTGGGGGAAAACCACTAAATTTTAATAAATAATGCCTCAAACTAAAGTTAGGATAATACAATTGACATTGCTGGATTCCTTGTAAGACCAGGAATATTTTGAATATAAATGTCATATATTTTGCACAAAAGATAACATATTTACTAGAGAAAACATTTTATCTAAAATTTGTATGTCTAATGCAAAATATATGATGTTTATATTCAAAATGATCACCAAATTATAAGAATTCCAGCAATGTAAATTATATTCTGGCCGGGTAATTTGTATGAATTTTATGAGCTAAAACAAATATCTTCAGTTAATAAAAAAAAAATATTCTTCAGGACACTATCTGTCAATCAAAGTACCCCACCTTGCCTCCCCCCTCTTCCAACCGCGCGGTCAGTCCCAACCCTCCCCCCCACCCCCCACCAATCGTCCCTTCAAGAGAAGAGTGGGTGAAAAAAATAAATTTTAACATTTTGTATTAAATAATACCTCAGATTAAAGTTAGGATAATATAATTGACATTGCTGGATTCCTTGTAAGACCAGGAATATTTTGAATATAAATGTCATATATTTTGCACAAAAGATAACATATTTACTAGAGAAAACATTTTATCTAAAATTTGTATGTCTAATGCAAAATATTTGATGTTTATATTCAAAATGATCATCAAATTATAAGAATTCCAGCAATGTAAATTATATTCTGACCGGGTAATTTGTATGAATTTTATGAGCTAAAACAAATATCTTCCGTTAATAAAAAAAAAAAAAAATTCTTCACGGGGTAACAGATGGTCGATTGGTCCCTCCCTCCCCCCCCACCCCCCACCAACTGTCCCAAGGAGATGTGTGGGAAAACCACTAAATTTTAATAAATAATACCTCAAACTAAAGTTAGGATAATATAATTGACATTGCTGGATTCCTTGTAAGACCAGGAATATTTTGAATATAAATGTCATATATTTTGCACAAAAGATAACATATTTACTAGAGAAAACATTTTATCTAAAATTGGTATGTCTAATGCAAAATATATGATGTTTGTATTCAAAATGATCACCAAATTATAAGAATTCCAGCAATGTAAATTATATTCTGGCCGGGTAATTTGTATGAATTTTATGAGCTAAAACAGGCAGTCAGGCAGGGTGGCGGGTGGCGGGTGGGGCAAATCTAAAAATAGCGTCTTGAGCCGGACACTCACCACGTATATGTGGAAAAAAATCCGTGTTAAGTGAAAGTTCAGCTCTGGCGAGGCACCGCGTATATGATAAAACGCGTTAAGTGAAACCGCGTTAGGCGGGGTAATACTGTAGGTTCTTATTCTCGTACGGGAGATATACAGAGGCACCAATAAGACAGAGCACTTCCACACTTGAAGGACTGGTGGTCTCCACTCCATGTATCACTGCGCGCTGGCATATGCAGATGCCAGCATTCACAAGCTGAATACATAAAATGTAAATATGATAATTTATATACATAACATGGTGCATAATAAATGGAAATATTACATAGAATTAATACATGTTCTGTAATACTTTACTGTACATAATTAATAGGGTAATATAAAGATACACAGCTTAAGGTACTACTTCATGTCCATATTATACAGTATCCACTACAATATACACTGTTGATATACTGTAAACAGGCATACCTTATTTTTAGTTAAAATAAATTACTGCTCAAGTATCATCGTGTGTATTTACTTGCTGGGTGCCAAAATGATGCAAAAGACCGATAACTCCAACATGGAAGTTTTCATCACTGTTCTCTATTTCTTGTCTGGAAAATGTAAGTTTTCGTCACTGATGTCTATATTTAATGTTGTGGAAGGACTGGGGATGACCATGGCCAGGGAATGGGCTTGAGATGATCAGATGACAGATATAATTTAACGTGCTTCATAGCTGGATGGCGGAGTTCTTGATAATACTCTACAATCATAAAGACATTTACTTTTGGTAAATTTCTTTCATCTGCCTTGATGAACCCTGGAAGTAGTTGTCCAACCTTCTCGGCTGATCGGTTTTGTAAATTAATATTATTAGATAATTAATTGTGCTTTACTGTGCACACAGTACTGGTGTATTGAATATATAATTATTACTAAGCACATTAACTAATTCAATGGATATTAGCTGCCCCTACTAAAAATTTCATAGTATAAACATTCCAAACAGTATTGGTATTATTTTGGTCATCTGGGGGAACTCTAAGATTCTAACAATGGGATTAAGTACTTTAAACAATAAGACAAATTATCTCTATGGAATTTCTGTCGCAAAACATTTTTCTATTGCATAAGAAAATACAGATCATATGTTAGGTTAGGTTAGGTATGATAAGTTATACAGTGGTCCCTCGGTTAACGAGCACAATCTGTTCTAGAAGGTTGCTCGTTAACCGAAACCATTGTTTCAATGGGTTTTTGGGTAATTGGTTCCAGCTCACCGAAAATTGCCTAAATTCAACAAAAAAGGTAGAAAAG